AGCGACAGGGCTATTATAATCAGCCCTACGGACAGCAGCAGCAAGGGCAATACGGGCAGGGAAATCAGCAGCAGTCAAGAAACTTTAATCAACCCCAGGTACCTCAAGGCCAACAACAAGCACCTCAGCCGCAGCAAGGGAGTTTTAGAAAAGAGACTGAGCAAAGATTCTCTAGTTTGGAAGACACATTCAAGAAATACATGCAAGTGACTGATGCAAGGATGCATAACATGGAAACTCAATTGGGGCAAATCTTTAAGGCTGTATCTGAGAGGCCTCAGGGATCCCTCCCTAGTAATACTGAACCAAATCCCAGAGAACATGTTCAGGCTGTGACCTTAAGGAGCGGAAAAGAGCTGGAATCTGCTGCCACAACAAAGAAGCCCGATGAAGTTCAAGTTGAACCGGTTGTCCGGGAGGAAGAAAAGGAGAAAGATGAGGGAAGAGAGGTGGCGGCTGCACCAAAACAGTCCGTTCCGGTCAAGAATTACACCCCACCTCTCCCCTATCCGGCGCGATTGACTAGGAAGAACGATAGTGACCAGTTTGGTAAGTTTCTGCATCTCATGAAACAAGTGCAGATTAACTTACCATTCGTGGATGCACTAGCTCAGATGCCGAAGTACGCGAAGTTTATGAAGGATTTGCTCACGAACAAGAGGAGGCTGGAAGAAGCGTCTACTGTGACGCTTAATGAGGAGTGCTCAGCGGTAATACGGACAGATCTGCCGAAGAAGCTTAAGGATCCAGGTTCTTTTACTATTCCCTGCTTTATAGGAGATCTTACTTTTGATAGGGCCCTGGCTGATTTGGGTGCAAGCATTAATCTGATGCCTCTTGCTTTATATGAAAAGCTTGCACTCGGTCCACTTAAACCTACACGTATGTGCATTCAGTTGGCTGATCGTTCAGTCAAATATCCCCAAGGGATTATTGAAGACGTGTTGGTTAAAGTGGACAAATTTATTTTTCCAGTAGACTTTGTTATTTTGGACATGGATCAGGATCGGGAAGTACCATTGATTTTGGGCAGACCATTCTTGGCAACTGCCCGTGCACTTATTGATGTTGGAGACGGTAAGCTTGTCCTCCGTGTTGGGGATGAGTCTGCTACCTTTGACATGTCCAAAATAATGAAGAGGCCCTGTCAAGATAGTGGCGAGTGTTTTTACATGGATGTGGTTGATTCTTTGGTGGAGGATTGCATTCCTAACATGCTTTCTGATGAAGCCTTCTTTGATCTTCTTTTGGATGATAGTTTGTCAGCAGAGGATCTTGAGCTCCTCCCCAGTTTTGATTGTCTTATGCTTGATGGAGAGGAGGACTCAAGTGATGCTAGTGATGTGAAGGGGAAGGAAGAGGACTTAGATAAGGTGGAGAAGGAAGATTGTCAGACTGATTCTTCTATTGTTACTCCTTCTCCATTAAATCTAAAGCCTCTTCCCTCCCACCTTGAGTATGCGTTTCTAGATGATAGTCCTGACCTCCCTGTTATTCTTGCATCCGGGCTTGAGCCATCCCAAAAATTTGCATGTCTCGATTTACTTTGTGAACAAAGGGAAGCTCTAGCCCGGAAACTTTCTGACATGAAAGGAATAAGTCCTGTTTTCTGCACTCATAAAATTCTGATGGAAGATAATGCTAAACCGGTAGTGCAGCCACAAAGGAGACTGAATCCTAATATGCAGGAGGTAGTCAGGGAGGAAGTCATCCGTCTGTTAGATATAGGAATTATTTATCCAATTTCAGACAGCCCTTGGGTCAGCCCGACCCAGGTGGTTCCCAAGAAAGGGGGGATGACTGTGGTTAGGAATGAGAAAGATGAGTTGATTGCTACACGTACGGTCACAGGATGGCGGGTTTGCATTGATTACCGAAGATTGAATGCCGCCACCCGGAAAGACCACTTCCCCCTCCCCTTCATTGACCAGATTTTAGAGAGGCTAGCAGGGCATAAGTTTTACTGTTTCCTTGACGGGATGTCGGGATACTTCCAGATCCCCATAGCCCCCGAGGACCAGGATAAGACCACTTTTACATGTCCATTCGGTACCTTTGCTTATCGAAGGATGGCGTTTGGATTATGTAACGCCCCTGCTACCTTTATGAGATGCATGCTTGCTATTTTTGGGGATTTCATTGGGAAGTTTATGGAGGTTTTCATGGATGACTTTTCTGTGTATGGTGATACTTTTGATGAGTGCTTAGAGAATTTGAAGAAAGTCCTGGTTAGGTGTCGAGAGGTGAATTTGGTACTTAACTGGGAGAAGTGCCACTTCATGGTTAGTGAGGGAGTGGTCCTAGGGCATAAGATTTCAAGTAGGGGGATTGAGGTTGATCCGGCTAAGGTTGATGTGATTTCTAAATTACCCCCCCTACTTCAGTCCGTGCCATTAGGAGTTTTCTAGGCCACGCAGGTTTTTACCGTAGGTTCATCCAGGACTTTTCTAAGATAGCCCGACCCATGACTAAACTCCTTGAGAAGGACACACCATTTGATTTCTCAAAGGAGTGTTTAGAGGCTTTTGAGTGTTTGAAGGAGAAACTGGTCAAGGCACCGGTGGTAGTAGCTCCTGACTGGTCTTTGCCTTTTGAGATTATGTGTGATGCTAGTGATTTTGCAGTAGGAGCCGTTCTTGGGCAGCGTCGAGAGAAACATTTTCAGCCTATTTCATATGCTTCAAAGACTCTCGATAGTGCCCAAGAAAACTACACTACCACCGAGAAAGAATTGCTTGCTGTTGTGTTTGCTCTTGACAAGTTTCGTCCTTATTTGATTTTGTCTAAGGTAGTGATATTCACCGATCATTCTGCTCTTAAATATTTGATGCAAAAAGTGGATGCTAAGCCTAGATTGATTCGGTGGATATTACTACTCCAGGAGTTTGATATTGAGATTAGGGATAAGAAAGGGGCTGAGAATTTAGCGGCTGATCACTTGAGTAGGTTAGAAAACCCCTTTCTTGATTCCCTGAGTGAGAGAGATATTGAGGGTACTTTTCCTGATGAGAGACTGTTGAGGATCGTTGATGAGGTGCCTTGGTTTTCTGACATCGCCAACTATCTTGTTGGGGGTGTTGTTCCTTCTGATTATACACCTCATCAACGACGGAAATTTTTTGCTGATTTAAAATATTATTTCTGGGAGGAACCATATTTGTTTCGTATTTGTGCTGATCAGGTTGTTAGAAGATGTGTTCCCCTGAGTGAAGGAGTTGAGATTCTCAAACATTGTCACTCCGGACCGACTGGGGGACACTATTCTTTTAACCGGACAGCTCGTAAGGTGTTGGAATGTGGTTTCTTCTGGCCCACGTTGTTTAAAGATGCTCTAACGTTTGTGCAGGAATGTGACAGGTGTCAACGCACCGGGCCGGTTACCAAGAGGGATGAGATGCCCCAGAATTTTATATTGGCTTGTGAGGTATTTGATGTTTGGGGCATTGACTTCATGGGGCCGTTCCCGGGTTCTAAAGGTAATAAATTCATTCTGGTTGCTGTGGATTATGTCTCCAAGTGGGTTGAGGCTGAAGCTCTGCCCACAAATGATGCTAGAGTTGTGATTCGTTTTCTGAAGAAATTGTTTTCTAGGTTTGGAGTGCCACGAGTTTTGATAAGTGACAGGGGAACCCACTTTAGGAATGATCCCATGACTCGCCTTCTGGCAAAGTACGGGGTCACTCATAAAGGGGGCGTCCCCTATCACCCTCAAACTAGTGGCCAAGTTGAGAATTCGAATAGGGACATTAAGACAATCCTTGAAAAGACTGTTGAGACCCATAGGAAGGATTGGTCTGATAAGCTAGATGATGCGCTGTGGGCACTGCGTACAGCGTATAAGACACCCATTGGCACTACTCCGTTTCACTTGGTTTATGGGAAGGCGTGCCACCTTCTGGTAGAGATAGAGCATAAGGCCTACTGGGCCTTGAAAACATTGAATAGGGATTTGTCTTTGGCGGGTCGTGAACGGCTTTGGAAGCTCAACGAGTTGGATGAGTGGAGGCTTATGGCCTATGAGAACTCTAAAATTAGTAAGGAGCGTGCCAAAGCCTTCCATGATCGGCACATTAAACAGGGAAAAGAATTTTGCAAAGGGGATCAAGTTCTGCTATTCAATCCCCGAATGAAAATTTTTAAAGGAAAGTTGAAGTCTAGGTGGTCCGGTCCTTTTGTAGTGAGCGAAGTTTTTCCATATGGAACTGTTGAGATTGATCATCCTGAGAAAGGCCGTTTTAAAGTTAACGGCCATCATTTGAAGAAATATTACGGAGGACCGCTAGAACGCGAGCGTGAGGTGACCTTTGTCACGAATTTAGAAAGCTGAGTGCGTAGTTGCGTCGGGCAAACGACGTTAAAAATAGCGCTTCTCGGGAGGCAACCCGAGCTTGCTTTTTGCTTCTGTAGTTTAGTTTTACTGCTTTTCATAAAAAACCCACAAAAAAAAAAAAAAAAAAAAAAAATAGTGGGATCGTGGGAACGCACGGACGTGCGTAGGTGAACGCACGCCGTGCGTTGCCCAGAGAGAACAAACGGGGAGCTACTGCCATTGACGCACGGACGTGCGTCCGGGTACGCACGCCGTGCGTTGCCCAAGCGGAACTCGAGACACCTACTGGCAGGCACGCACGGCCGTGCGTCCGGGAACGCACGCCGTGCGTTTCCAATTACTAAAATTTACACCCCGCTTCCCCCCAAAACAGAACTCACGCACGCACACTCCCCCTTGCCCACGATACGCACGCACGCGACTCCCCCTCCCCCTGCGACCATCGACCGACCGGCCGCCACCACACCTCCATCGCTGACCGCCGCCGCTCCGACCGACCGCCGCCTCCCTCTCTCCTCTACTCGCTCAACGATGACCCGCACCAAGCATTCCGCTAAGAGGCACCGGGACAACACCGGTGCTAGCTCCAGCCGGGCCAACCCAAACAGAAATCAGCAGCCGATTGTACCCTACCAACCCCAGTTTCGGGATAACGCCCAAAAGGAGAAATTTGAGGAATTAATGCAAAGGCGAGCGGGAAAAATATTGTTCCCCCATTTGCCTACACTGGAGAAAGCCGGAATCCAAGACGAGGTGATGCAGCTGTTGTCCCGTGATTGGTGGCAACATCTCTTTTTCGGCATCAATGAGCCGACTTATAAAGAGATCACTTGCGAGGTTCTGTCTTCTTTCAAGGCCCCGAGGGAAATCACCAACAGCTTTTACCCGGTAATCAAGTTTAGAGCTTTCGGGGAGGACCATGTACTTTCAGCCAATGACATCTCTTCACACTTAGGTTTTGAGCGATTGGACGATGTTGCCCGATGGGATGGGAGCCTTTTAGACTTTCCGAAGGAGGTGAATCAACAACAGTTTTGGGAGTCTATTACTATTAATGGGGGCAGGTACAACTCACAGACATCGCCTAGTACAGTCCTACACCCACTCAAGTACCGTGTCATCCATGCCTTGTTGAGTTCCACAGTTTCTGGCCGCGCAGAGAAAGGCGGCAAGGTCTCCTCCACTGACTTTTTCTGTCTCTATTGCATGATTCATGGGAGGAGACCGATCTTTGGCGCTCTCTTCGCGGGACTTTTTGCCAGGCAGGCTAGTTATCGGGTCAAGGAGCTTTTTGCGGGACCATACATTACACGGATGATGAAGGCCATGGGGTATGGAGACCGCCTAGAGGGGATGACAGTCGTAGAGCATATTTATCCGATGGAGACGCTGCCCAAGGAGATTCCAGCTGGACGCCGAGCAGCTAGGCACGCAGATGATGATGACGGTGGTGCTGAGGGCCACCAGCAGGCTGAGCAGGATGACGCGCATGAGATGATGCATGGGGCCCCCGTTCTGCCCCCTCCCCAGGGACATGTGTTTCCCAACTCTTGGGAAGGGATGCATCAGCATATAGAGGATATGTATGGCCGACTTTATGAGCACCAGCAGCAGTTTTTCACGCAGATGAGCAACGATGTTACTGCAGGCTTCTCCAGTCTTGATTTGAGGATGACGTCATTGGAGCAGAGATGGGACAGACAGTTCCCCGATGATCAGCAGCCACCCCCTCCCCCATTTTAGATTATGATACATTGTACCCATTTTGATCACATTCTGCACTGAGCACCTGACACTTCTTTTACTCTCTGTTTTCGTGGATGTTTTCTTTCTGCTTGGTTGTGATTGCAGCTTTTATTGATAATTGATCGTTGCTTAGATGTTTGGAATGAAGGATCGATTGAGTTCAAGGCCGACCAAAGACCTAGGGGAGTTTCTACGTTCCTTACTCGTACTTTTTCGCCTGCCTTTTGTTGACTTGAGTTGATGTTGAGCACGCGCGACCCTTTCCCTTTATCCCCTTGTGCATTATGCATTTTTGGTCATCGAGGGCGATGCCAAAGTTTAAGTGTGGGGGAGTGAACTGGGCATTCGGGCATTAGTTGTTATTTGTAATTATTGGAGTTAGCATGCGCAGGTGTTAGTTGTATATTCATAGGAAATTCATGCAAAATTTTTGCAAATTTTTCTTTAAACTGTGTCTTTGTGAGCTGGCTAACATTTTGACTATGCTTTTATGACATTCTTTGAAGTGTTTAGGCTTAATTTGCTTGCACTATAATCTAGTTGTTGAAAGGATGAAGGCATTAGTCACCCATTGAATTAATCCATTAATCATCCACCCCACATGAATAAGACCCTTTAGGAGAAGCCATTTTGAGCCTGCCCGTTTATTGTTACCCGATTAATTGAGCTCCATAGCCAAATGGCCTGTTTCCATACCCGTGAATATTTCTGACTTAGTCTTGGTGTTTAGGGAACTAGGGGATTAACTTGCTAAGTTTAGGGAATTTGTGTAGGAGCCATTTTTGGCACTGTTCCTATGCCCCAAATAGGGTAAGAGCAGTCACTTTTTAGGAATTTGATACTTTCGAGGATTGCATTGTAGGCATGGATTCACTTTTAAATTAATGAACTTTAATTGCTATTTTTCCTTGGTGAGGCCGAGATTAGAATGAGGTAATGTCTAGTGAGAATCCGAAAGGTGAAAAATTAATATAGCTAGACCTCTTACTTTACGAAAAAGAGAATGGGAGCCCCGGTCAAAAAGCGTGAGATGAGACTTGGGTATCTTTCGAAAGAAACGGCGTTCTCGTGCCAACATGACAAGGAAAACTAAACTTAAATTAATGAACTTGGAGGCTATCTCAAAATTTAGCTTTAGTCCTCCGCGTACTTCAAGTATACGTCAAAGCACAAATGGGCCGAGACGGTTTATCTTAGTTGTACACCATGTCTACTCTTTGCATAGGTTTAAATGATTGTTCCTAAATTGTGGCCTACTAAGTTCTTTGATCCTAAGAATAGCCCTGAAGTTCCTGAATACATTGAGTCTTTGTTAGAATATTCCAATCTCTCAAAAGAAAGGGACTATTATTGCTATCCATGATCCATTCACCACCACCTTCACAAGTCCTTCTGATCAATAACTAGTTTATTTGTGTGTGCTGTCACTGCTTTGAGGATGTTGTGAATAATTTTGTCAAATATGTTCGCTAGAGTACAAAGATGTAGTTTAGGGAAGAATTTTCTTGGTTTAGTCTGCCTGTTCTGTGAATATCCCTTTAACTACGTGTGCATGCTAACTGTTTTAATTCCGGGTGGTGATTATGTAAGTCCCGTTGTTCAGTTTGCTTGAGGACAAGCAAAAGCTTAAGTGTGGGGGAATCTGATAAGTTCGTATTTCAACACGCATTTGATGCGTGTTGGGGTCGGATTTTGATAATTTTCCTAACTTTTGGGTGTCGTAAGTCTCAATTTTAGCTCAAGTCATGTGTATCGGGCGTAGGGTATGAGTTTTGGTATTTTCAGAGTTGAAATCAAGTTTTGGGACCCGGCATCAGCATTTGAGAAAGAGATCGGGACGAGTTAAGAAGCATTCGAGAGTGAATTCGCAGTTTTGGAGGCCACCGGGAGATTCACGATGATGTTTTGATGAAGAAAGAGCTTTTGGATCGATCGAGTGGTCAAACGGAGGCTTAAAACGAAAGAAATCGAAGAAAATGAAGAAGAAAGGCCACGCACGGCCGTGCGTACAGGGACGCACGGCGTGCGTGCGTGGCAGTAGCGGCCAAGAAAAGTAATGACCAACGCACGGCCGTGCGTCCGGGTACGCACGCCGTGCGTTCAAGGCGACAAAATGGCGAATGGCTACTGGCAGCAACGCACGGACGTGCGTAGGGGTACGCACGCCGTGCGTCCAAGGCGTTAAATTGAAGGAAGCTACTGGCGGTAACGCACGGCCGTGCGTCCGGGTACGCACGCCGTGCGTTCAAAGCGTTTTTTCAAAGAATGGCTACTGGCAGCAACGCACGGACGTGCGTAGGGGAACGCACGCCGTGCGTTGCCTATTTTTAAACGGACGTCCGTCGGACGCACGGACGCAACGCACGCCGTGCGTAGGCTCCGTGCGTACCGCGGATCTGTCCTTTTTCGACCCAAACTCATTGTTTTCTATAAATAAAGCCTCCCTTACCCCGTTTTGAGGTTCGGAAACCTAGAGAGAAGCTTAGGGACGTGTTTTACAGTGTTTTTCCGCTATTTTGTTCAAGACCCTGAGATTCTTTGTAAGTTTCATCTTTTTAATTAATGACAATTATTTCTATTCATCCCAATTCTGTTGATTATTCAATTATGAATCGTGAGTAGTTTAATTAGGGATTTGGGGTTGATGAAGGGGTTAATCATGATGTATGGCTAGATTCTTGTCGGTTTAATTGCATGAATGCCGTTTAATTTGTGTTTGAATAATTTAATTGATATCTCTTGTAACCTAGACTGCAGCTAGAATTACAATTGCATGTAGAATGAATTAAGAGAGATCTAATTTGTTCTAGGACACATTCACACACACTTAATCGTTCGCTAAGAGATTAGTAGCGATTAAGGGGCCGTAAGCTCGCTCGTCTTGGCAATAATTTAGGATCTTGTCGCATGAGAGATCAGCCTGGTCCCCTAAATTATTGCACTCTACGCCGCGAGAGCGGTAAGAACTTAGTAATGATTAGCTAGGCTCAATTAAATTAAATTCATGTAATTAGGCCTGATCTGTCAGAAATCTGGTTACCCCGGAATCAATTCCTGTTCCCTTCGTCGTTAATTGAGAAGAAACCAATCTTTTATTTTTATCGCTCATTAGCATTAGTTTTAATTTTAATTCAACCAATCAATCTCGCACACTTGCATTTATTTATTTTTATTTCTTTTTAATCGCTAAAGTTTAGTTAATCTTTAATTCCCTTTTGTCCGTCCCTGTGGAGACGATACTCGTACTTTACACCACTTTTCTACAACCATTTTAAGTGCGAGAAAACTCACATCATGTATCTATCTGAATCAAATGGTTGGATGAAATTGTACTGCAAATAGTTACATTTTCGTGTAGGACGCGTTCGAAGAATGTGTTTGTAAGTAGCACTTTAGGACGGAACTATGGTGCCAATGTAGCCAAATCCAGCAATAGTAAAGGTGATGACTTGGAGGAATAGGTATATGAAGTATTGGTTCTTTCCATACATGAAATCATAGCACCCACAGATGAAAAGGAAAACCGCAAATCCCAACTCATGTGGCAGAATCCTATCTCCAAGCAGAGATTTCGTCTTCTTGATTGTTGCAGATTTGGCGTTTGGTTTGTTCTTGAGAGCGTCTCCCAGTTTTTCAGTGACTACCCACTCATTAGCCCTCTTTGCTTCAAGCAGCCCAATGAATGTAGCTTTGGTTCGGTGGAACGCCATTACATTCTCAAATAGAATACAGTAAAACAGCAAATGGATCGACCTCGGGGTGCCAACGGAGTTGAGAGTTGTGATGATACAAGGAATGTAAATGGCAGCCCACTTTGGTATTTCAACTTCGGGTACAAGAATGGTCAATGGAAGAACAACGCAGAAGAAGAAAAATGTGACCATGTGAGCTATGATTTTCCGAACGAAGAAGAAGCTGTAGATCACGTAGAGTTTCTTCCACACATTCACTCTCTTGTCCCTAACGATTTCCATGACCATTTTCCTGAACAAGTTTGCAGGTCCACAAGACCAGCGATGCTGCTGGAAGCGGAAAGCCTTGAAAGTACTAGGAAGTTCACTTTTAACATGGAGTCTCCCAAATAGAGGAACTTCCAGCCTTTAAGGCTTGCTCTTACAGCCAAGCCCATATCCTCTACAGTGGTCCTATCCAACCGCCTGCCTCATTTATGGCTGCGATCCTCCATATACCACCAGTCCCATTGAAGCCAAAGAAAGCATGAGTGAATGATCCAACTTCTTGCTCCACAGTAAAATGGTAATCCAGAGACATCTCTTGCATTCTTGTCAATAAACACTCATTGGCATTCACAAACCGCCAGCGAGCTTGGACCAGTGCAATCTGGGGGTTGTGGACCAAGAAGGGATGGATCGCTGGAGAAAATCCGGTTCGGGCCGGAAATCGGCGTCGAAAATGGCGACATACTCGCAATCCTTAACATAATCGCGTTTTAATCCGTCCTTAAGAGCTCCCGCCTTATAGCCACCTCGGGTATCTCTGATCTGATATCGAATATTGATGCCCTTGCTTGCCCATCTGATGCACTCTTTTTCAATCATGTCCTTAATGGTTAGATCAGTGGAATCATCAAGAACTTGAATAACAATTCGATCCGACGGCCAAGAAAGATTACATGCTGCTCCAATGGAGATCTTATATACCTCTCTTTCATTGAACATGGGGATTTGAATAAGGACCATCGGAAAGGAAGCATTTCCGATTTCCAAATCCTCACGCATTGGCTCCCATTTGTACCTTTTATCAGGTTTTTTCCCGAAAATTTTCACCAGAATGATGACAATCCCCATATACAGCCTCTCGCAGAAAAGCATTATCGTCATCGCCACACAAATGTACACAGATAACCTGAGCAGAGGCACTATGAGCGGCACCTTAATAAGCTCCCACATCATCCCCATTTGCGCCGCTATGTCCGCCGCCGGTCCCCGGAAAGTGATCCCGCCGGTGAGCGGAAGCTCCGCCATTGTCGAGAAAGGACGGGGGGGCGAGGTTAGAAACGGAGGAGATCGTTCAGAGCGGATCTGACCTCGACTCTGCCTCCGCAATCCTTTGTTCTTCCACTCCAGGAATGTAATGGGAGGAGGGGAGTAAAGTATTCTTAATAACATATACGGAGTAATATATTTACTGCAACTGTATTAGTTACCTGACCGTATACTTAAAGTGCCAAAGTACATACGTTCTAAAAGAGTTTGGAATATGGTACTGAATCAATAATAAAAGTTCTTGAAAAAAATGGACAAAGTGTTTTACTCAGACATTTAGTCGAACACGTATTGTGCAAGAGTCTAATGGGTAACTAACATCGATTAGATATTGGACAGTTAATCGTTTCCCGTGGTGCATTTTCCCGCAGGCGGGTTGTCCTCAGTGACGATTCTGGATTCGTGGGCAGCATCATGGTTTCTCTGTTGTGGAGAGTTCGTGAATTGCGGCGGATCCGTGTCCCGGAGATTACCCCTCACAACACTAGTCACCAAAACTGAAATAAAAGAAACACGCAGCAACGAATTAATAACAATGGTGACGGGAGCCATCGAGAAATGGAAGAAGAAGAAGAATACCGGCGGCAGTGCCGATGGTCCAAACCCAAAGGATCTTCACTCCTGGTCCTCTGTCTTTCCACATTTTCTTCCTCACCCTTCACTCCAATTTTATGTTATAGCCGTGGAACTTAAACGGATATATAAATTTCACACATCAAGTATATTATACTTTTCCATCACGTGCAATGAAGTTAAAGACTCCTTATTTGTTGACTTTGGAATAGAATAGATGAAGCAAAATAGTTCACTTAACTGTTTGCCCATTTTTTGTTATGAAACAATCAATCCATGCAATTTTCGACGTGATTTCACTATGGTTCATTCGAAAACAATCTCTATGTGCTTTAATACACGGATAAGACTGAGTACATCTGACCCCCTTACCCCACTGTAGGTGAGGGCCTTTGCGGCATTGGGGTCATGATGGATGATGATGAATGATGACAATGACCATAAACTACATTGAGATGTTTTCACCTGAACTCAAATTTGTTGGGATAGTTTTTTTTTTGTCCCTTGTCCGTGGAAGTATTTAGCCAAGCTACAACAACTGATTTTTTCTTTTGAAAAAAAAATGTAGAATAAGATATTACTTTATGCTAGTATGAAAACTTTTGTATAGCATAAAAAAGTAATCATGTGATACAAATTACTCATGTCAAGGCCTTATGGCTCAGAGTAAAATTATACTTTTCTGGTACTACACTACCTACGTGCTTCTGACAAAAAAATAAGCTGAAATACTAGCTACTGGAGCCAACATTCTCGAATCAAAGCCAAATGCAACCTAAGGTTCCCCTTATCAAGAGTGATCCAGTGCAATAAAAAACAACGTGAAGCTCCACCCTCGGATGAAGGTGCTCATTAGTAGAAAATCTGTAGTTTGAGCAAAGCTATATGTAGATACGACGCATTTTCAGATACTATAATAATGCATTTTCTTTGTATTATCATATTCATTATATTTTTGCCATTTTTATTGAAACTCACAATGAGCTTTTCTAATAGCTTAGTCAATTCCAAAAAGTATGCTAGTTTCGCTTGTTTGGAAATTAGGATTGGAATTTGGAACATAAAAATGGATTCTTATGGTACACAATTAACATTTGGTAGAGCAATGTGTAAATTTGCACATGGTGTGGGTTCAAGTCCCACATAGCCTAAATAAAGATATCGACAATTCTAACATGCATGTTAACACTCTTAAGACAAATATTATACGTATTTTGCATTTTTTTTTATCATGAACTATAAAACAATATTAATTTTTTTTTTTTTTTTGCTTCAATTTATTCTATCATTTTATAATAGCACAAGTTTAAGTCTCACCATGCAATCTAACGTGATTTATTATAAAAAAATACTTTTACCCAGATTACTTTAACTATTCGATAAAAAGACATTACTATTTTACAACTGCTGGGCACTTTCTTTTTATTCCTGTGTGTTCATTCTTTTCCTGATGCCACTTCTTTTCTTTAATATCTCTTTGCTTCTTTTATCCTTATATTGCATCCACAACACTTTTATTCTTATCTTTTTTTATTGAACTATGATTGGGCGAAATAGATTTGGAACACAATCTTCTAATTTGAGAATTTCTGTAGAAAAGTAAAATGGTGTGACAATAAGGCACTTTGGAAAATAATTGATAAATAAAGTCAATATATATTTCGAATTGTTCTTTTAAAAATAATATTACAATTTGAATATATATTACAGGTAGAAAACAACACTACAATAGCTTCAAGAACAACATCTGAGGAACAACAAAGTCAAAGTTAAATTGTCTCTATTTTTCAGTACCAATGCCTGCTTCTTTGGTTTATCTGAAGTTGTCGTAATCTGCAAAAGTGAGAACAAATCTTTTGTTAACACACACTTCAATACCATAAGCATCAACAAAAGCATGCCGATCTCAGAATGATTCTTCGACTACATCATGAGAAAAGGTAAAAAAATTTAATTTTCTTCCTTTAAAACTTTGTTCTAATAATCCTGCCTTGAAAATGTAACTAGGATATAGATAAAGTCATAATGTGTTAGCACACACTAATACACCCAGAATGATAACTTGTAAAGAATAAATTCATTACTTGTAGTATCATAAACTTGAAATCTTACAAAAGAAATTACTTAGAGTACCATCAATATCAAGAGAAGCATGTTGATCTCTCAATGGTTCTTTGACATTATTATTGGCTACTTCAAGGTTTTCCATATCACCAATCAAGAAAAATACTTTACAACCACACTGGTAAAGCCTAATTCATAACTTCTTATAAGGAATTTGTAACATTTAGTCTAATTACTTCAAAAGACCTTTCATTGTAGGAATGTAAGCTATTCTATATTCAGATGGTCTTATGTAAATAGCCATTTGTGAAAAAAAAAACTGATTTCGACTTATATCTATAATGGGTTATATATAAAGACTGTTCAATAGTTTTCTCTCAAATACTAATGAGACATTACTTTTCTCGTTACTTCTAATTAACTAAGTTGTACTTCTAAAAATAAATACATAACTTCTATTTGGTGCTATAATGTGAAAGAAAAAAGTGAAGTTGTTTTCATTAAAAATAATATTCAGAATATTTTTGTTAGCTCTAAACAATCAGGACACTTTATAAGCTGTTGCATAGATATTCATGGTTTACTAAACCTTCGTGCCTTCTCAAATTACTATAACTTATAGATCACAAAATGTAACTTTTAAACCTAAAGACTTAACTTTTACCAAAACTCCCAAGACTTCAAAAACCATGAGTATAACTTGTAATCCAAAAAGTATAACTTGATCAATTTAGCACCAATCTGATGTTCATTGGTTTGTAAGTTTGTTCAAAATTCTTCTCATTTCTAGAGGTGGGGAAAAACACATTTTAGCAAACTAAGACCATAACTTCTACCTTAACAAAAACTAATCAATTACAAAGCTTTGAAATATTTATGCAGCATAAATCAATTTAAACCAAAATAATCAACACAATCACTGCATTATGACTTTGTCCTGTCGTAAGCGCAAATGACAATTCTTCACTACACTCATCAATATAACTACTAGTTAAGTAAGCTTAACTTCTATAACAAAACCTATAACTTCTAAAATAGAACCGATAACTTCTACCTTAACAAAAACTAATCAAATCCAAATCTTTAAAATATTTATGTAGCATAAATCAATTTAAACCAAAATAAACTATACGATCACTGAGTTATGAATCTGTCCTATCGTAAGTGCAAAAGACGACTTTTAACTACACTCATCATTATAACTACTAGTTAAGCAAGCTTAACTTCTAAAATAAAACTGTAACTTCTACTTTCTGTTTTATCATTTTGTAAGTCTGCAACTATGTGACTAAAATAGCTTGGGAACAATCAGTAGCAGAAACAATAAGTGCACCTCATAGTGATTCTTAAAAGTCTCGTCAACATAACTACTAGCTAATTAAGCTTATTCTCTAAAATGAAATCAATAACTTTTATTTTTCAATCCATAGATTCAGGAAATAACTTCAGCATAATTATCAAGATCAGAATTAAGAGCAACAACAACATATTAAACTAATGAGCTCCAAGGCAAAAGAAGAACATGTAAACTAAAATAAGAGTCATTATTTTAATCAATTAGAAAGTTTCAAAAACAGAGGCATCGCTTATACCCAAAAGGATGACCTGTAGCAATTCATCACAATCATAAATCATTAATAGTGTGCTTTTAAACTAAAACCACAAGATATAAAGACAAGTTTGAGGGGGTACTTATTAGAGTTTTAGGGTTTTGAGATTTACAAATTATGTAAAATTGAAGAATTTGAAGCTCACCTTCTAGATTTGATAAATCGCGCTAGAGCGGTACATTATATTTGCCAGATTTTTGTGTCGAGTAATAAAAATGCATCTATCCGCACAAACAAGCTTGAATAATTACTATACATCTATACCTCTCTGTGCAGACAGGTTATGGAGCATGGAAAAAGTGAAGAACGCGGCCTATTTGGAAGCTGTATGTATGATCGACAGAGTAGCTCCAAGTAGTTAGAAAATACTCCGTCTTTGGTTTAAATCTCGAGCGAAGAGATAGAAAACAGAAGAATTCAGCGATCTTCTTAATCGTTGTAGGAACGAGCTTGCGGCAATTAGTCAACAATCTTCTTCTTTTAGAGTTTATCGGAGTGAAAGAAAAGTAATTGGAGCAGAGAAAGAGGAGTCGATGAGCAGAGAATTCGATAAGGAGAGAGATCGTCTTGGTAAAAGGAATGAATGAACTCCGTATTTAATTAAGAGCATTGGATAGCCGTAAGATTTTACCTGATCGGACGACTCCAATCACTTCTCATTTTTCAGTTTAAAGGTGCTTCTCACCAGATTCATTCTCTCTCTCTCTCTCTATATATATATATATTCTAGATGAATCTGCATTAAAATGAT